AAAGTTTTTTTGTTGACGAGTTGATTCGCCTTGCTTGTATATCTTAGGTACATGTAGGTCTTCGAAAGAAGATCTTGGAAATTGTTGAGGTAGAAATATTGATTCACTTGATTGATACCTGCAATTCTGCATATGCCAGGAGTGAAATAATGGACCACTTTAATGTATAGTTAGTTCTTAGCTATTTTCTGAATTGTGAACTGCAAACTATAGCGAGTCTTAATCTGTTGGGGCAAGGTGTATTTTCTACTGGATATGATGGTCAAGAAGAAGACAGATGAAGCAATCATTTTTGTTGTTAGCTGCCAGCCTAAGAGCCTTGAACATGGGGGTACTCTGGTTGATCAAGAAGTTGAAATTTCATAAGAAATACCAGACAATTCTTTGATGTTGAAATCTATTTTATGCAATCCGGATTTAAGAAAATATTGTGATTTTGATGAAGTTATAGAAGCTTGATTCACTACTTCATTTTATCCTCATCATCCTCTCTTGTCGTTATACTTGTCACCTCTTTCATTATATTATAAAAAATATATTTATAATGCCATCTAAATATATTATAATTTTAATATGTATGTTTTTTTTATTTACCTTTTTATCGTAAATATTAAAAACAGATTCGATTAGTTGATCACCATCGAGTGACCCAAGACTTATGTGATGTTCGATCGTGTTATCATGACTATGATGTTGAGTTTGTGGAGCTTTTGTGCTTTTATTCTTTGCAGGTCATATAATTTTGCTTGTATTTGATGGCGAGCTTCGGTGCAAAAGTAAGGTTAGTCATTTGCAACCTGGTTGTGGTTGATTTGATTTGAGCATGAATCAAAATGGGGTGATTCGGTTTATCTTTTGAAACAATTTTTTATTCTTTTAAAGCCCGGATGCCTTTGGGACTCACTGAGCTGTCTTTCTCTCCCTTTTTTGTCTTAGATTTGCTTAGTTTGTCTCCATAAGATATGTTGTGCCATGAGGTTGGTCGAGATCAAGCTGCAGACGAGCCTCTTTTACGGACTGTGTTACATAGCTATATAGTCATATGCAACTTAATTCTTTTGCCTTACTGCTCTTGTTTGTCTCATAACAAGTCATGATGAGATTGTTTAGCCCTCGTAAAACAAATTACTATTTGTTATACGTGACAAAACCAAGATGCAATTTTATTTGTTCTCACATTTCATATATGTAATTGACGTTCTTTTGTTTCAGACACCTTAATGAAGATATTCCAAAGGTGCTCGTTACCCTCTGCATTTGTTTCTCTAGTTTAATTACTCGCTGTCAAGTGGATTTTTCGTTCCGCTGTATATCTTACTTTATCTGATATTGTGTAACCATCAAAATCCTTTTTTTTTGGGATGAGGATGCCCTGTTGATGGTGCCATCCTATCTTTACCTTTTTTTTAATGTTTTGCTCACAAGTTTATCATCTGGATGGTGTTCTTCATAAGATTAACTCAAATAGTTAGGAGATAAGATTTAATGGGATATCTTTTGACTAATATAAATAGGTTTTCTTGAATGAATGGAAAGCACTACAAATTAGAAATATTCTTTATTGTTTTTACTATTTTCTTTCTTTTCATTCAAATTTTAAGAGCACATTCATGCATAGCAGTTCTTTTTCCTACATTTAGAATTTTCTCCACCGCACCCAATTTTCCTACATTTAGGACTTCCCAGTGGTGATTTGTTCTTCTTTTATTAGCTAATGTTTTTTCTCCTCAATTTGTCAACTGAATTACTATTGAATAAAAAATTTAGTGGAATAACTAAGGCCATGTTATTTTTTTTTCCAATGTGTTTATTAAGGAGGAAGATTATGGAGCTTGTGCAACACTTTCA